TAGTTTAACATTTATCTGTGGAAAATACAGGTTAGAGGTAGATACTGTTGACACCTCTTGTCTATGAAGTGGGGTTCCTGTTTGGACCAGGAAACATTCAAAACATTCCAGCCTCTTCTCCTGTATGCAGGAGTAGTGAAACCATTACTTGGCCTTGTTCCTGTTCAAAAATACTGTGAACAGCAGCGACATCGCGGGCATGCAGTGACATTAGATAAACCAGTTAGTTTTACCTCCTTTGCCTGGCCTGTGAGCAGTAGCTATTGAAAGATCCAGTGAGGATAAATCCACGTTTGAAACATATGGATAGCGTGGTATTGTAGGCTTAACCCACGACAGTTGTACAAGGACTTGCAGATCTTTCCATAGAAGTTTACAGTTCTTTATTGTATCTTTTTGAATGCAACAGCTTTAACTAATGCTATGTGAGCCTTTCAAACAACTGAACTCATCATCCTCTATTGAGTAACCTTTTTTTTTTTTCATCCTTAATAGGGATGCATCATTGATGGCTATGAGAAGGCGTATTGAAGGCTTGACACCAGAAGAAATAAGAAATCTTTCCCGAGATGAAATGCACATGCCAACAACTATGGAAGACTTTGAAATAGCTTTGAAGAAAGTTTCTAAATCTGTATCTGCTGCAGACATTGAGAAATATGAGAAATGGATAGTCGAATTTGGGTCATGCTGAGTTGTCTTATCTTGAAGAAGCCACCTTATGTCTTAAAACAGCTTTAGAAGTAATAAGTAGTGTGTCAGTGCACTGCGTGCTCTTCTTAACTTTTGTAATTTAAGAGCAACGGATGTCTAAATAAATTTTTTTAAAATGCAAATTCTGTCTATCTCTCTTTGAACTAGCTCAAAAGGTACCCATTTTTATCACATGTGAAAGATACTGATGGAAAGCACTTCGATCTTCAAGATATTTTAAAATTACTTAAATTTAATACTAGAACTCTTGCATCAGAGGGTTTACTCTTGAAAAATAGCTACTACACCAAAAAAACCCAAACTAGCCCTGCTAAATGAGTAAGGGATGCTGAGAACTCGAAAATGGGATGAACAGGATGCAGTTGCACAGATGGTTTTGCTAGCTGATCTTAAAGAATTCTACCCTTAAACTCTTTCCTAAGGTATTAATAAAGAACCTGTACAAAGGTTGATATTTAGAACAGCAGCCCTTGTGCTACTAACAGTCAGTAGATTCAACTGAAGTTTAAGCAAGTGGTGGGATCAGCACTGGTTTACAGTATCTATTACAGTATCTATTCAGTACTATTAAAATATATCCAGCCAGGGTAAACCAATTCTGTACAGCCAGCAGTCATGCAGAGCCACACGTGTGGTCTCCTTGTAAGTCTGAGAGAAAACAAAAGCTTTCTGGCATTAGTTCTGAAATATGTTTTTCTTCCTTGACTGTACAGTGCTGTAAGCTTCAAAACTCCAGACCTGGCAGGTTGGGTGCTGGTGTACGCTGCACATTTGTTCTGGTAAGGCCGTTCTGAGAAGGCAGTGTGTGTGTGTTATAGTTGTGCTCGATTGATTTCTGTTCATAACCCCGACCTTACAAATTATGTTAAATCTAAATTCTCTTTTTGCATTACTTGACAAGTAGAATGTAGAGGCACTTCTTTGAGAATGTTTCTGCAGTGAGCATTTAGGTCATAATTTTAGATTTTGCTCAACAGTGGTCATTGTAACTAAAGTATCTATCACTTCTGTCCATTTCCTATTATTTTGGAAACACTTCTTCCTGCTAGCTTGTCTCAGGGAGACAGCTGTAGTTCTGCTTACAGCTAAACTTCATGATTTTTTATGAATCAAGTATGTCTAGACTTGTTTCAGCTGCTGTGTGAAACTGGCTGTGGAATTCCTGCTTGTGTGTCTGCAGATGCTGTAAGGCAGATGGCAAGGACAAATGGTAATGCAAAGGAAAACTTGCAGGCTGAGTAGAAGGCAAATGCATCCCAAGTACACAGATGGGTAAATACCGTTATCATGAACATCTTGTTATCGTACTTAAAATTCACTGCTGTGTCATGAGTGACAGCTGGTCACGCTGAAAAGGGACTTTCAGGAGTGCCAGTGATGGGGCACTCTAGTAAGACGCTGAGATGCGGATATTGTCGAGAGCTCCTGAATCCCCGGGTGGACCTGGCATGATGAACCCAGACATGAAGGGAGGAAGTTCAGGTGAGTATACAAGTGTGTGCATTTATAGACTTCCATCTCCAAAATGGAAAACAAATTTACCTCTTTCTTTCCAAAAAGATAGCCCTAGGTGTGAGTTAAGAAAAAGAGGCAGTATTTTGAAGAAGTGGGTTCTCTTAATACTTATTTTTCTGCTTGTATGTTTGAATGAGTGTCAGCTGTGTTGCAGGAGATTTCTTCTCATAAATCAATTAATTGCAGGCAAACCAAAATATTCAATCTGTCACCTGAGTAAGAAGGGAAAGTAGGCAAGCTTTAGTCCCTGGAAGCAGTCCAGTAAGGGGCCACTTAGACTGAAAGTGTGATGTATTTTGAGAACTTGTAGTAGTTTAGTTTTACAGCTCAGCCAGCCCCATTTACTCTCAGTGAACAAAAGGAACACCTGTGTTAATACATGGTCGATGGAGGAACAAAAAAACTGGTAGATGCTGAATTCATAGCTCAGAGGTTCATTTTGTTTTGGAACACAGAACGTGATGATACCAGCCCACTGCGGTGGAGATCCTGCACGGAGGGAAGGGCCAGCGCTTCTTAACTCCTGTGTTTAAAAGGCAGAGAGGCTATTTGGAGAGTGGAACAGAACAAGATTGGCTGCAGTGGGAGTCACAGTTGATGAGGAGATAAGAGATGTTGCCTTTCCTAAAAACCTACTGCCATCCTACACAGTGAGGGTTTTGTGTAGTTGGTTTTTGGGTTTGGTTTTTTTTTTTTCTTTCCCCAGCTGGCACCTGTATCCTTGTCAGCTCGTGTCCAGGGAAAATGAGGCCTCCTGCAACTGGTGTGCAGGACAGTTGCCCTTTCCTAACTGTGTTAGTTGTGGTAAGGAGTTTTTAAACTGTGTTACAAATGGTTCAGAGTGATCCCAGCTCAAAGTAGCACTCCTATGAAAGGCATGAGACTTATGACTCAGGAAAACCATATGCACACTAAAGCAGAACACTAGAGCTTTAATGTTTTAAGACTTGGTAGCTCCAGCTCCATAGCACAGCAATGTTGATAGCAATTACTGTCTTCAAGACTTGCACTATTTGTTTAATTTTGTTAACATGATGGTAGTATTTCTTACTTTGTAGCTCTGTAGAAAACAACACAGAAGAACAAGAAGATTACTTAGCTCATGGAAATCAGCCAAGTTGAAGCAGTACCAACACTTTTGTTGCAGCTGTTTAGAGTTAAATCTCCTTGTTGCTGTGCAGGTGCTTGGTTTACAGTTTCGTAAGTAGGGAGGCAAAGAGCACATGCTAACAGCTGCCGAATTTCCATCTGCAGTGCAATTCATACTGTGCTTGCGCGGGAAGGAAGAACTGTTGTGTCTTAGGTCCATCCTACTTTTTTTTTTTTTTTTTTTCCCAGAGGCTGCTAAACTTCAGCCTTATACATTGCTTCTATTTGAACCACGTAAATGAAGGGGCCAGGGCTATGTTCATAAAGTGGAAAGAACATTTGTCTCCATGTACAAAAAGGAGTTTGTCTGCAACAGTTTGAAGCCTTGCTCTTGTCTGTGCAGTCACCATTCCTGCGCTAGAGTCTTGGCAGTTTCCCACTTAGCCATGGATGACAACCACCCCTCTGACACGTCTTTTCTTTCACTAAATTGCATTCTTACTGCCTCTGGAGCAGTCACCTCTGTCTTACATGGCTGTGTTATGACAGTAGCTGTTTTGTGGCAGTGTCCTGTAAAGCACAGCTTGGGGCTCCAGGGATGTCAGTCACTGCCACTCATTCCCAACCAGCAGAGCAGTTGCCCTGCTGAGCATTTCATGGCTCCACACCTGCCCGACGCATCCCTGACTTCTCTCATCCGTGCTCAGCTGGACGATCTCATTAAACTTATGATAATCCTTCCTTAACAGGGGAGGTGTGTGTGTCGGGGGGGAATCCTAGCTTTGCTCCCTCACTATAACAACGCAAGCTGAACATGGGTAATTCTGATCACGCAAATGGTAACTAAGGGCTCAGTCTAATGCCAGGCAGGTAAGGTTCTTTTCTGTTTTCCTAGTCATTCTTCTGACAAATGATTTTTGTAAATAGGAACAATTAAAAGCTAAACAACAAACAGTACCCTGCATCTAACATATCTGGCAAACTGCTGTTTTATGTAACTAAATATAGATGCACACATGAATGCAATCTAATAAACAATTTATATGTTTATTTGAAAAATGTTAACAGTACAAATTGGCATGGGCAGACTAGGCCTACCTAGCAATAGTAAGCCAGTACTTTTGTGGAATTCCGTAGAATTCTCTTTTTTCTTTTGAGACTTCACACAGTACTGCTGTCACAGATACAAAAAAGCACACTGTTTACAAGTGCTAACAATTGTTATGAGTGGAAGGGGCCATAAAAGTGTCAAGTGCTTGAAATATAAGTCTGCCTTTTACATTTTTGTTTTGCATATATAAAATGTCCAATTACTTGAGTATGACAAATGTTTGGTAGTGGTATTTTCCTTGCAAGGCACACTCAGCCCTAAGAGACCTGAAACCAGGCTGGGCAGCTTTGTTCAGGCTTGCAGGCACAGCTGATGTTTGTGATACTCCTTTGTCTCTTTCTGAAGAATGCTATCTGGAGACTTCAGGACACCCTGAATTTCATCATCTTGCTGTTCGGGATAGCTGACCTGGTTTATCTCTGGGTGTGAAGGCAGCCAGCATCCTGTCCAAGGTGTGGAAAAGTGACTTCACAGAAGTTAAAACCAATGGTAGCCCTCAGGGTGGAAAGCTGTTTTGCTTCGAAGCTTCTGAAAAGGCTGCACGTTTAGAGAGGCACAGGGAAGTCAGCTTTGGGCCTCAACCTGAGTGTCCCTTTACCAATTAATCAACCGACTTAGTCTTCTTAGTAGGAAACAAACAAGGTATTAAGATCAAGTGCCAAATTTCAGGTGAACTAAAATATTTTTTTAAAAAAAAACAGTAACTCCAAGGTAAACACAGTATTAAGTACATGTTTTCTCATCTAAATGATTTTTTCTGTCTGGAAGATCTGAAGGCAAGCTGATGGTAAGCACAGGTACAAAGCTGACTTCATCCAGGAGAAGGATGCCTCTGAAAGGTAAGATTGCCTGGCATTAGAAAACAATATACCAAACAATTCTGTGTTCTAAAAATTAGATTTATCCTAAAACTCCCCAAACTTAGTTTAAATCAATGCATCAAGTAAGTATTACCCTCATAACACCTCTTTTATGAAGCTAGGATGAAAACTTGATGGAAAACTGGTTCCTAAGTGTACTAGCTGTGGTTTCAGAGGGGTCCCTTCACCCAGTTTCTACACCTGAAATACCAGCAGTGCAGGCTCTATGTGCTCAATTTCATAGTGGCCTACAACTGTTTGTTGGCAGGAGCTACTTTGTCATGCTCTTGCTCCTAATTCTCTCAGACTAGCTAAAGCCTCTGGTTTTATCAGCGTACTATGGAATGGCATTAAAGACCTGGGACAAGGTCCTGACTTGCATCTGCAACTGTGTCATTCACCAAATAAGACCTTCTACTCATTCTTACTGGTTTACAATCACAAATTAAACCTTTACCGCTTTTTAGGGGACCACTTTATACAGGTAGCAAGAAAATAACTGTGTTGTTTTGGGGGGCATTTTTTCTTTGTTTTGTTTTTTTCTTCAAAAAGGAGGTTGAGGACCAGCCTTCCACTGTTACAATATGCTCTGACAAGCCATGCACACGCCCCATGTTCTCCAACTGGAAAAAAGAAATCGCTGCAGGCTGGTTCCTCTGCTCTGTACTGACCTCTGCCATGGACAGGCCATCAGACACTTTGCTGAACAGTTTATGGGGATCAGAATTTTTTTCCTATCTCTACTAAGTTCAAAGTTTCACACGTGGCCATGTTAAGCTACTCACTGCTGTGGGGAGTATAAAGTTTCTTCACTTTTTCTGCTCTACAAGAAGTACTCCAACCTGACAGCACACTCTGTGAAATGTTGGGGGAAGCATGGTCTCTTTTGTCACTGCAGCATCCAACCTTCCTGATCTTCCAACCCTCCTTTATTCTAGCTCTGTTGGAAGGACTAAGGCCACTCAGCCCCCTGGGTGGATACATAAATTAACTGCACTCAGGGCCATGCAGAAGCACAGCTGGTCAGTTGCATTTGAAGACATTAGCTGTGCTTGTTGGGGTGATGAAGCATGCTACAAGCACTGACACTTCTGAAAGAACATATGGTTCCAAGGGTTAGGTCTTCCAGAACTGACTTGGGTTGCTTTAAAATGTATGTGCTTGCCCATTCCGGCACTAAATTCTATATTGATTTCTGAGCTGCAGTTACTAATTCATCTTTCCACCCCTGTTTTGAGAGCTTGCTTCTCTGAAAAATACTAGTGTTGCTGGTAACACACAGAGTGAATATAGCCATCTGCAGTCAATCAACTTTATTTATGACCTTTTACCACCAATGCTAGCACCTTGCTATGGCTTGTAAGCTGCCTACATAGGTACCTTCTCCTTAGAGGACTCCCACACAAATTTGCAAAGTCAAATTTGAGGCCTTTCATAACTACTATAACAACTCCAACTCAGGAGGAAAAGATTTAGAGGTGCTGGAACTGTTTAGCTCTAGCTTCTACCCTCCTCTCTCAGAGGTATGTTAATGGTGTCTCACAATGTAGTCCTTAGACTTGATAAAAATTTGGTAGTATGACAGCCAAGCTAAAGAGATTTCAATGAAATATTTTCCCATTTGTCTGAAATGCCTATGTGTTGAAAGGTCACTTGGAATGGAAAGTCACCAGCAGCCTTTTCACTGAATTGTTGCCACCATCTTCCTACAGAATGGGGCTGCTTCTTGAAATATTTTTTAGTTGATGTTTTGCCTTCATCAGAGAAAAAAAAAAATAGCAAAAATTACTCACTTGTTTTCACAGGAAGGGAAAATCACCTTTAAGACTTTGAGAATAAGAGCTGCTCCAACAACTCCAACTACAATGACTTCCATCAAACTAAAGAAGATGGGTAAAGATCGAAACCAGAATCTGCACAACCCTTTTCTCAAGTCTTCCACCCACTGGCACATCACCTACAACCGAACAGGTAAAAATTAAAAGATATGTTGCAAAACACAGCAAGTACAGTTTTTGTAGCTACTGGTGAATCACATTACATGGTGATAATTTTACTTAAATTTATGTATGCTTAAACATACACAAAAGCAGGATGGATTTGACTGGTGACTCAGACTTCTATGAAGTTTGGAACAGGTGAAAGTTTACTTCTCTGCTCATCCTAGCAGAGTTCCCTGAAAGGAAAGGTCACTTTGGAAAATAAAGGACCCTTGAACAGGGCAGGTGAAGAGGGAGCTATCTGGCCTAGGTGTATACACAGCTACAATACCATGGCAGTGTACAGCAAGGAAAGGGTTACTGACAGCCCAGGAGAGGGGCAGCACCTTCTCTAGCCTAGCTGTAACTTTCAGCCTACTATTTTGGCCCTCCTGTCCCAGCAGGTGATTATAAAGTGTTTCTTTCAGCCACAGGGGAGGCCACCAAACCCATCCTTACCTCATCTGGAACTGAACCTTCTCAAGCTGCTGTGTTTGTTACAGTGGGTGAGACCAATGGCCCATCTCCCAGAGGGGTAAGCACACAAGCAGAGTCAGAAAAAACTGATGTAATTTAAAGTGAAACAATATTTGAACTTGTTATAAATGCTTAGTGTAGTATAACGTAAATATCACAACTCACTGCCATGAAGTGTCTGTGAGGTCACAACAGTGCAGGATTTAGAAACCCATTCGATTCCTACTGGAGTAAAAAAGCCCCAACAACTTCTTATTGGTAAGTGGTAATGTAAAAAGTTTTTGTTTTGTTTTGTTTCCTAGAGTATGTCTGGAAAAGTCTGTTCTTCTTAGTAATTGGCTGTGGGGATTTCTTAGACTTCTGTGGAAGGCAGTCACTGCCAGATGCCTCACACAATAGAAAATCCTGGTCTTTAAAAAATACAAAGCAGCAAAACAGCACTCTGAAAAGTCAACACTAGGTTAAGTAGGAACCGTAATTGTCTCTTCCAGAAATGAGTTATTAAATACTAGTTGCTTTTTTTCTAATTAAAAATAAAGGGCCAAAGACGAAGGCCTAGGAATGTTATACACCTTCTTACCATCATTAATGTTGCGTTTGGTCTTTACATGAGGAAAACCCACCATCTGAATCCTAACAAATGCTGGGTTTGTTTGTTTTGTTCTGTAACATCCACAAAGGAGGAAAACATAATATTTGTGTTTCTGTAGACAATACTAAAAATGGGGAAGGAAGTTTATTTCCTCGAACTGTAATACTGAATAACATTCAGCTCTATCTGCAGCATGTTACTACAACTTGTTCTCTTAGACATGTCACACCAAGCTGTATGCATTTCTTCTCTGGGGAAACAGAGAAAAAAGGAGGGGAAAAAAACTGCTTCTCCTTTTTAGACCAGTCTTAAAGGTCTATACTAATAATTAAAACAAACAACAAAACTACCTTGTAAGAAGATGGAGGTTCTGTCCTAAGAGGGGTCTCTGGTAACTTGCCAGGTAATGTCTCTTCATCTACTGTTGTTTCTGCTTGCCGGATGAGGTACTGACTCGTAGTTTGCAGTGGATCTTGAATATCTGAAGAAGAAAAGCTAGATTTAGGGGGGGGTTTGCTTTTACTTGACTCACTATTCAGGAAAACAAAGACATGCTGCGTTTCTATACTTACGATACAGTTCTCACACATTTACAGCATGAACGCAGAAGGCTGACTTTTTTTTTTTTTCTTGCTTTAGTAGTGAACTTGGTAAGAAGGAGAAGCCATGTTTCTATACTTACGATACAGTTCTCACACATTTACAGCATGAACGCAGAAGGCTGACTTTTTTTTTTCTTACTTTAGTAGTGAACTTGGTAAGAAGCAGAAGCCATGTTACAGTGCAGCCTTTAGCTGTGCCCTTAGCTGTAAATTTCAGCTGTCGACAGATTAAAAGGTGATGAACTTGATCAAAATATTAATCTTCTATTAAATCCTTGAGAGTTTTTATTTAAAAAAAACTGAAATAAGATTAAGGCATCAAATAACTTCCTTGCTTTTAAGTTACTTAAGTTTAATAACAAACTATTCTCTGGTTTGGAAGTGACCCAGACAGGTATTTCCTCTCCAGTTTTCTCTTTCATTCTCAGGAAAAAGGGGGAGCTTTAGAGAAACTTCCATCAAAGAAAAGAAATTTATTCTTGTGACATGTCTGGGTTGCACACTGACAAGTACCAAGTGCTTCAAAGGAGACAGATTTGAAAACAAACAAAATACCTAGAATGTAGAAGAGTTGAATTTAGGTGTTAAAAAAAAAAATACAAATCACATAAAACAAACCACTTCCCTGTTAATGAAGAAACTGTTTCACTATGTAAACCCCAGGAATAATGATGTTCTTTTTGCCCTTGTAAAGCAATACATCAACTATGGATAAAAATATTACATAATAGCTAAGAGAGATACCTTTTCCTGAGAGGTTGGGAAGTGTAAATAACATGTCGTTGTCCCTTGGGATGGAATACAGCATGCTCTCTTTCAAAGGGAGAGTGTAGTTTGAATGTCTAAGTACTCTCAAGTCCTTCACTAAAATATCTATTTCTGTTACTTCTTCCTTTTTTTTCTACAAGAGATGCAAACATGTTGATATTACTGAGTTTAAAGTAAGAGTGAAGTAGGCTGGCAGAGAAAACCAATCCATCACAGAAAACTCAAAGCCATTAAGATTTAGACATAGGGATGTTATAACATGAATTAGTATTCTTTGTTTTTATGTACACACTTCTATAGACTATACCACATTAGAAAATATGCTGAACAGAATGGGTCTCTCTCTCTCTCTGCAAAAGCATGTGGTAGTCACTCTGTGGGCTTTTAACCAAGTCTTAGACAGCTCATTACGGTCCTCTTTCAGGGAGGCATTTTAGGACATGGAAAACTCAAGTACGTAGTGAAAGAGCACCTGCAAAGATTGAAAGTGTTGCTGAGCCAAGACTGACACTTCTGCTTTTGCAGTGATGTTGCTTTTTTCCAACAACTGGAAGAATAGATTTCTTCCTCCTCTTCCAGTGATGCACTGGACCCATTTCACTTAACCACTGCAAGCACTGCTTACATAGAACACATTCAGCATAACTCCTCATAACTCACTCATAACTGCTTTGTGAGGCCAAGAACTGGCAGAAATCCAGAGCATTTGTGACCATAACTGCTACATAGAAATAGAACTAGCAAAAGTGGAATGAAGCATTTGATAAGAGTTGCACTCATGTTTTCAGAGCCAGAGGCCAACTAACAGTCTCCTTTTGCTTCGAACATACGCAGAACAATGCAATGAAACAGATGATTGTTACTGCCAGCTGATAACTAATGAGAAAGATGGAAAGCTTTTGACTTAAACGAACAATAAAGGAAACAGCATTACCTTTCTGGTTGTTCTTACCAGGTCCCTATGAAAATCTGAAATGCATTGTGATGTCTGGTCTGAGAGCTGAACTACAACACTATTGTGTAACTACTGAATCAAACCAGAATATATTAGCCTCCTAGCAGTGAGATAAACATCTGATTAGAAAAACTTCAAACATCTCAGTGGGATTTTTTCATTAACAGTGTAAAATTTTGACACAATGCAGATGCCTGTAAAAAATACTACACGCCAAGCATGCAATTAAGGATCAATGGTATTATCATAACTCTCCTTTTAAAACAAGGAGGTAGCAGAACATAAGCCAGCTTCAAAAGAGCCTGGCCCCATGTAAGATGCAGACATGTACTAAAACAAAAATCTGATGCTTTTGCTGACCTCAGCAGCTGTATCTTCTCTCCAGAACCTCTCTGGTTGGAAAAATAACTATAAACTACAAGCAATTTTGAGAACTCAGTTCTGCACATTTCAATCTCATCTAGAACTTTAACCCCTTACATTCACTGGTATTTGTGCAAATACAGTTTGAATTTGGTTTTTTTTTGTCTGTTCATCTCAAAATCCATGTTCATTATCAAGATTTTTATTGAAATGAATTAATTACCTTACATGCAAAATATTCTAAGGCTCTAAGGCTCTCAGGTGCTGTGGGCTTTCACAACTAGCTGTGCCCCATGCTACACGCTTGAAACACTTTGTTAGCTTGCAATAAACAATGGGGAAAACTTCAGGACTCAGACCTAGCCCATGCTCCTTTTATTTACTTTGTAGATTATTTTGTAAATGAAGTATTGCTTGTGAGTCTGACTTTGCATAAATGCGTATGTTGAAAGAGCATGTGACAGAGTTAATATTCTAACAAGCTTGAGGAAAGTCATCCAACACAATTATTAAAATAGAAGCATTAAAACTTGAAGTCTCCTCATGAAACACCCCTGCTACTCATACAGGCAACTGAGGTTGCTATTCTCTCCCTCAGTTCTGTGCTAGCTAGCATTAGATTATATACTTTGTGCTCTAACCACCAGCCAGACACATGTAAAATTTTTAAACCTTGGTAACTACTTGCCTCTCCTAAATTAAAAACAAGCAGAGTGTTGTTTTTGTTTTGCTTTAGCTTTTTTACCTGTTTTCCATCAATCTCTGTCACTTCTTCCTGAATGACAATCAGCTGCAAATTAGAACTGGATGCCAAAGGCCACTCGTGAACCATGATGCGAACGCTGACGGTTCCCAGGCGCTGCTGATCTGGTAAGTTATCCAAGTTTCCATTCTCCACTGTTAACAAACAATGTCACTGTTTTCAAAGAGAAACCACCCCAACCAGAAAGCAGTATATAACCATGGAGCAAACAGTTACATCTCTGACATAGATGTCTTTGCACATGTAGCATCTGAATGGAAAAGTCATTCCAACTACAGAGGACCACTGTAGATGGTGGATCTCATCCGAAAAGTCATTCCAACTACAGAGGACCACTACCATCAAACCAGAGATGCCTGAACAGTTGTACGAAAGTCTGCACTGTGCTGATGTCTGGACAACATCAGCAGTAATCTGGGCAACACGCTGAACAGTTGTACGAAAGTCTGCACTGTGTGTCTGGGCAACATCAGCAGTAATCTGGGCAACACATAAAACAGATGCCATGATTTTTTACCACTGTATCACCAAAGCAAACGTGGAGCAGGTCTCATGATATAACACAGCAGACGAGAGCAGCACTGTATGATCCCCAGGCTGAGGGAGCTTGCAAACAGTGTTGCATCCCTGCCTGTGGGGTTTGCATTTAAGCATTTTAAGCAGCCCTCTTTGGGTTCGCTATTGCTGCATTCTCATTTTAGTTCTCCAAAGGAGTTCATAAGAGCAATGCCACAGCCCAGCCAGCCACCTGTGTAAACATCTTGGTTCGCACAACATTCCCCTTCTTCTCGGTACAGAAACAAAGATGCTCTTTTCCAGACACACTGCATGTACTACTCAGGATGAGCGCCAGTTCCCTCAAAGATGGTTTTTCTGCCCCCCCTCCATTTTCATATGTGACTGTGACACTTCAAACTCTCTTCCTACCCACAAGCTTTCAGCTATTTCAACAGCCTTTTATTGCACAAGTACACAAAGAACTGCCTTTCTGCCCTCGCTGTTTCTGCACAGATAGTATCCCTCTTGCAGCTGCCACGTGTCTGTTACAGGCGAGGCTGGCTAGAACTGAAGTGCTGCGGAAGTGCAAGAATGGAGGTGACGGATCTCTCCAGCACACCGAGAGCAAGGAACATGAACTGAGACGGAACTGGTCCCTGTTTCTAAGCCACTAGTGCTGTGTCACTTGCTGTGCTGAGCCTAAGGGGCAACCTGGGGGAATGTCAAACTACTGTGTTTCAGTTACACAGGAACAACTCAGTGTGTTCATGACTATTATGCTATGACCCCTTTCCTCATAAAGCTGTTTTGCTTATTTTACATATAGAAAAATACTTTTTGGAATCATTTAGCAATATCTTCCATTGCAAAAATAACTGGCAGAAGGAGAGAAAGAGGGAGGTCAGAGAGAAAGGTTCCCTATAGGTGTGAGCCAGAGCACTAACCTGGCTGCTGAATGTTTTCTGACTTAAGAGCAGCAAGCATACACTAAAGGACCAAACCCTTCAAGATGCCAAGTAGCTGAAGCTCCCTGTGGTCCCAGCCTTTTATATCTCAGGCTGCTCAATCCCCACGATGTTCAACAGACGTGAAAGACACTCACACTTCCAAAATTGACATTTGTCAGAACTTCAAGTGGGGATATAAGTGTCAGGCATGATACAACAGTGTCAAGACAATACCGTTCAGGAGACTTGGTCTCTAATATACAAGAGCATGAATATTTGGCTCAAGTTTGATTTTTACATACATTCAGGAGTATTTTTCCCTCTGTTAACAGGTAACAAGTATCTTAATATTCCTTTATCATTTTACAAACATGGTCTGAATGTGCTGTTGAGGATTTAGTCAACAGTATAGACATTACTTTACAAATAACAGACAGAGGTACCGTGCTGAGGACTCAGTTTCTAGCTCCAAGGTCAAATGAGTATTTTTCTCACTGTTTCAGATTCACTTTCATAACTGTAGTCACTGCAAGCTATAGACCTATGATTTGGGAAATTACAAGGAACTACAGTAGATCAATAGGAACTACAGTGTACTGCTCAGTATCTCTCAGAATTAGTCAATAAAATAATATATAATTTTCTAGAGTCAACTATCTTGCAGGTAAATGACCTTTTGCCATGTTTTTGTACCCTGGGACAGAAAAAAATAGAAGCAATAGGAACATAACTATCCCAGAAAAAGAGAAATGAATTATTGTTCTCCCTCTTCAGAAAAGAAATAGTGCCAAATTAATAATTGATCATGCTTGGGGAGTAAAGGTTCAAGAAACAAGGTCATGGCTCAGAGATGCAATTTAGAAAAAGCATTAGTACTCTCTAAGAGAATGTGTGAAGAAAGGATGACCTCAGAAAGCAAGCTAGAGACTGACTGCACCTGATCCATCAAGAGATCACTCTGAACACAACAGAAGCTTAAATCTAATGAGCATAATGGCCCTTAATTAATTATACAGTATGCTTTGTGTATTTCAAAAAAACACAGTACTTCCTGGTCTTTCACAAAATGTGTAGCATTGAATCAGTGGAAAAAACTGCAGTTTCAAGATAATTTGAAGTCATTAACCACTGCGGGACACTAGCAAAACTGCAGTATTTGTGCTATAATATCCTGTCCAGCAGAAACGCATTGTCCAATAGACACAGAAATTAGATCATTAAAAGATCTTCCTAACAATAATTCATACTTTTGTTATTGAATCTCTTTTTGGATATATGCCAACCAACCTAGGGACATAGCCATTACCAGGGTGGAGTTGCATCCTTCTGTTTACATTGTCTAGCTTGTAGTGCAAAACATTCTTTTGAAAAGATAGGCAGAGTCTGGAGTTCAGATTAGACCATTTACATATAAGCATGTGAACTTGACTTGAGAACAAGGCAGTAAGATTTTTTCCACCCATTTTAGTAGCAAAATTATCCTACTTTGGGAAATGATTTGCTTCTACAATGCTCAGGTTTGCAGGGTACAAGAACACATAGTAATTGTAAGCTTTGGTTAGGAGATAACAAGGAAGCCAAATACCCCAAGGAAATTTAAGAAAAAAAAAAAAAAGGAAAAAAGAAAGAATACTCACATATTACTGTCTGACATGTTATGTGTGCAACTCCACTTTTCATAGGAAAATCATTTAGATATACCTGTCCGTTAACATAGGTGATATTAAAAAAAACCTGAAAGAAAGATGGACGGAATGAACGTAAGGTTTCTGGCCCTATACCACAATTCTCTTTTCACAGGAAAACACTTCATACTGACATCAGACAAAACGATATATTTGCATCCACATGCAGACTTTGTTTCACTGCATATTAATTCACTCAATAAATAGTGAAAAAAACAGACAAACCTGTCCTTTGTGAAATTCTCCATTGGTTTTCAACATCATAACATTGACTCTGATCGTTTCCTGGAAAACAACAGCGGGAAGAGAGGTAAGGTTCCGAGGAAACATAGAAGCCACTGCAGGCCACAGACAACTTTCACACACGGTTCTGACAGAGTAACAAGGTACATCCTCAGAGCATATTCCTGGGCTTTCTATCCATCAGAGAGAAGAAAGAGGAATATGCTTGTTTCATGAAAGGTTTGAGGTTTTTTCCCCCGCTTTTTAATAAAGAGGATTGATGAGAAAGAATGACAGCTACATCCTCTTACGTATAAAGGGTTTTTTTAAAATAAAGATAAAATGAAAATAATTAAGCTAAATTCACAGGGCAGCTTGTTTTACATGGATATAATGGAAAAGAAGTCTCTCATATTAGCTGAAAAACAATAGACAATACAAAGTAAAAATCAGATTCTCTGTAAGTGTTTTTTAAGCACTCCACTTAGTCTTCAAGGTGAAGTATAATTTAATACATGTTAGCCTATACTAAAGAACACTCCGTTCAGTGACAGCAGTAATGCTGTTTCTTTTCTTTGGTTATCATTCCCAAATTATGCCACATGGGACACCTCCAAACTCACAGTTAATGGGGATTTGGTTCCTTCTTTCAAACCCTAATTGCTGTAATTTACTGACTCACTCATTCTGTCCTCTCATTTCACTCCTGTAGTTTCAGGGGCTCTTTTGCAGATGGAACCTTAAATCTCCCAGGCCTGCCCCTGATAAAACCTCCATAAAAAAGACAAACCTCTCTCGGACATAGCCAAAAGTAATGATTGCCACGCTGTTTCCCTGAGTTACCTCTTCAAAAATAACATTAAGCTCTCCATATGCCTTGTGGGAGCCCTAAATTACTCTAATCACATTTCATTTTCCTCTGGAAATCTTCTCCATACCTTCAGCATCTTCTTTGGTGCTGTGTTTGAGTCATGGTTTCATAACTAAAAGCTAAAAAGTGAGTAGTGTCTCAATAAAATGGTGAACTTGACCAGATTTTTATAAAACACTAAATTTTCAGCCAAGAAACACCTGAAATATACAGTACTTAGCATAACGGAGTCCCAATTCACGAACAGAGAGCTTCTGAAGTGTGACTATAATGTAAAAAATGCCTTAAAACAAGGGGTGTATAGCAGTATACCCGGGTAGCCAGGACTACCAAAA